CTTGCCAAGTTTCCCTCACCGCTCCCTGGTTTCATTGTCATCGGTGTTCACTGACCAGAATGGATGAGAGTAATAGCTGGTAAAATAGTCTGACTGTCGCAGAGCAAATGACTTTCATTTTAATGCTGCACCGTCGAGCAGCGAAAGCCACTGACATGTAAATAGGAGAGAAGAAAAAGGAGAAAGGCACCAACGCATAAGTCATTGACATGTAAATACCAACGCAGGGAGACGAGAGCCGATGGAGAGAAGAGAGGAAGAGGGAGGGAGTCAGAGCAGACACAAGGCTGTTGAGTTTTGAAGAGCCGTAGCCGCCCTCATTCTCATTCAGGTGTGATTTAAATGAATAGGTGGGCAATTTGATTGATAGAATCTTGGAAGAGGCTCTTTTTTCCCCCGTTCTGAATGTACCCCATGAAGAATGGAAATAACACCCGGGCTCTTTATGAGCATCCCTCTGCCCCACACACCGCCTCTCCTCTCCAGCCAAGTGCAGCGCCACCCATGTGAGGCAGAGTCGTACACCAGTCACATAATATCCTCTCTTTGCGCCGAAATGGCTTCCTCAGCGTGTCAAACTCTGTGTGCTCCACTGGCTGTCTGTGTTGCATCTCAGACCTGTGCTGTATGAGTGATGACAGGGAGCAACTGGCTTCCATTGGGATCTAATCAAATGTGAGGGCCCATGCGGCTGCAGCCTGATGGAGAGGCGCTTTAACAGAGCTGCTCAAGGGAGACTCATCCATCAACCTGCAACCAACCAAAGAGCGCTAGGCTACCACTGGCAATGATAGAGAGCTCGCTGACTGACTCAGTGGAAGAGTGTGTGTGCGTGTGTGTGTGTGTGTGTGTGTGTGTGCGTGTGTGTGTCTTTGCATGCTTGTGCATTCGTGAATACGTAGGTGCAACAGATATACAGGATATGTAAGATGAGATAACCATGTTATCCTCGGCTCAAACCCAGACTTTAAATCGAGTTATGTTTGAGGGGCATATCTGATATCCAACGAGACTGGTAACACAGTTACTTGACATCGGGGACACGGAAGCAGCAAAGAGCACGGCTTATGAAAATGTAGTGTCAGTATCGCTGCACTGACTGGAAGTTATCGGCAGTGACTGATTACGGAAGTCCGTCGATGTCTTCTCAGTTGCACCTTGTTTTTTTTGTAACGGGTGAATCAGCAAAAGGACATTGGCTAAGTTTTTTGGGGGTTTTATTCGTTTTTAAACCATGCAAAGACGTCTGTGGAGTATTCCAGTTGTGTTGGGTTTACCTTGTTCGCAGATGATGACAAGATATACTTTTCCCTTAGCTTTTGGGAGAATAGACAGCGATATGAAAAGAGAGAAAACCCAAAGCAAAAGAGTCAAGAGAGAAATTAAATGACTGAAGATCTGATCAGGATCAAATCATTTAATTCCAAATGAGGGATAGGGCAGAGGGCGTGTAGGTGTCTGCGTCTCTTACGGGTTCTTTATCAGCTCAGACAGCAGGCCTATGAGGTCAGCAGCAAACCACCGGGGAGGTTAGATTTGTATCATACTATATTCCAAATCCCCTCCTTCCATATCTATCCATCTCGCTACAGGCCTCTCTCTCGGCTACTGTCTAAGATCTACTGTGTGGAAAAGGGCTCACGGAATATTACTGATATGTTTATTCATGGTTATTACAGTATTTAACAAACACATAGAGGGGAAACCATTTGTTGGCTTAAGTAAGTATGCATTGGAGGTTCGGCAAGGGCACCGGTGGGTGTTGTGTTTCTAATGAAGCATGGCATTGACTTTATGTTTATTTAGTGCTTATTTATTGTTTACTTAGTCACATTACCTCTCTGCTGCGTCCCTACAGCGACACAGCTATAATTCACTCCCATAATTAAATATCTGGCTGAAAACTCAAAAGCCAGATTTATTCCAATTGAATTCCCAATTCCTCACAGATACGCCGCATCAGCTCACGGGCGCACCGAGGACCTGGGTCGGACCGTTTCTGAAAGCAGGGAATGAAAGTGCATATTAGGAGAGAGAGAGAGGAGAGAGGATGGAAAAGGAATTGCCAGAGTGTGTGTGTGTGTGTGTGTGTGTGTGTGTGTGTGTGTGTGGTGGGAGGGGAGTGGGGGGGGGGGATAAGGAATTCAAGCAGGAGCAGAAAGTAAATTAGACAGAGAGAATTGGATCAGAGAGAAGCTGAAAGATGTACATTTGTGTTGCCAGGATAACATTTGGCCGACTCGCTCTTTCTGGCTGTTTTCCAGCCACTTAGAGACGGTTGACACAGTGTGTGTGTGTGTGTAGAGAAAGTGTGTGTGGTCACTTGGGTTTAGAGATTACCTCGAGAAGTGAGGCCAAAATGACAACAGCTGCTGACATACAAACCGTATGACATTGATTTATTTTTGATTCTATCTTAATACCTTTTTCCCAACCCCTTAACTTACACACACACAGTTATAAGTCTGTATGATTGATATAAAAGCCGTCATTCTCTCTCCCTTGCTGTCAGGATTCTCTTATCTCCATGGTAACACGGTGACATGGTTCCATCTATCCCAAACAGCCTCACACACGGGCATGCACACACAAACACACACATGCATATACTTACACATGTATTCACACGCACTTGCATGAGGCAATACAGCGGCTTCCTATTGTGTGTGCTTGTTGCAATAATTTATTACCGCCACTTGTCTCCTTTTGGCTTGTCTAGCTTTGAGGCTGCCGAAGGGACCCTGTTTCTTCACACGGATCATTTAACTTTAATTTGATATCTTACTCACTGGCACACGCAGGCAGAGCACTCGAAGGCCTCTGATGTTTGAGCTGAACTCTACCACGGCTTCCACCAGGGCAAATCTTTCGTGCTGGGACAAGAGATTTTACGGGGGAATTTAATCAGCTGGATATATACAGGGCCAAAGTGATGGTGGCAGCCCGCCTGCACACAACCAAACTTCACGACGCTAGACTCACACATGTACACAAACACGCACACAACATATAGCAAGTTCTTTGCAACAGAACTCGGAGCTTTTCTGAAAATTGAAACTTAAGTCACACAGTTCCATCAGTTGTTGGTAGAGGCAGCCGGGTAGAGAAATTGTTTAGAAAGATCAAACAGAAAGTATGAGGTGACCAGAGTAGGTGATTATGGATTACCACTGCCCTCTACTGGACACATGGGTGACATGCAAGAATCATTTCTTCAGTACTTTCTTTTCCCTCTTTTACTTCCTCACAAACACCCATCTCAAGGTACCTGTTACACCAACCATCAAGCAGAAGCTGGCCTTGCTCGTATTGATCACAACCCACATCAAATCACAAACAATCTTCCAAAGGGAAGATTAGACACTCGAGCGATCCTACTTTCTATCTTTCACAGGATTTAGAAAATAAATAAATAAAAGAAAGTCAATATACTGAGTGAATAGCAACTAAAGAGAAGCCTTCCGCGGAGTATTTCGCAGGCTGATGATGATGATGAGTCCTCTCATTACGCGCACAAAGACGGTACACGTGTTCCTGTTGTCCATATATATATATATATATTTTGGCAACACGCCTCTTGGTGCTTCCGGAAGAATAACAATAGGTTTAGCTTGAAGTACATACTGCACGTACTGCGGCGCTCACTCTGCCGTAACAAAACCAACCAATTCTCAAAATACATGAGCCAGCTCATCTTTTTCCATTAGGTTTATAGCCAGGGTCAGTTTATCTATTAGTTGATGTGGTTATGGCGAAGTCTTGCACTCGTCTCTTACTAGTTGCAGACTAACATGATATGCTTTTGGGAATACATGTAGAGCTTTTGGAATGTATGTCTGAATGTATGAATGTATTTTCACGCACTAGTGTCACACTATTGGTACATAACCATGCTTAAGCTAGGCCCAATTTCCCTGGTGCAAACGGGCGATCTTTTAATATATTCTTTCAGCCTTACTCTCACGTGAATACTGGGATGTCTATGTACAGATTGGAGAACACCCTGTTGTCAGACTATTGGCTAATCCATCAATTAGATCTTGTGCAAAGACAGATGACTCCTACTCCCTTCAGTGCGCCCACTTATCCCCTCACAAGGGGGTTAGTTGCCCCTGATGATTGTCCTTTAAGGTGGAGCGGAAAGGTGGATAATAGGCACTTGCGACGTCTGACGAGGGAGGGGTGGCTGAAAATGAATGGAGGACGTCATGAATGATGCCCACTGTGCTTTCTGGGGTATCAAATGACTCATCAGCAGAGGTCTGCCCTCCATTTCCTCCCCCTTCTCTGTCTCAGTTAACAGAACAGCGCCCGATTTGGCCACCAGCGACAACAAAGGAAAACAGGTTCACGAACGTAAATCAAACATACCCGCAGATGCTTTTGACTGTGTGTGTGTGTGTGTGTGTGTGTGTGTGCGTGTGCACGTGTGTGTGTCTGTTACATGGGAGGGCCCCTGCAGTCGCTGTGAATAATTAACGGGACCAGTGAGAGAGGCAGAGTACCAGGCTCGGTGTTTCGTTACCCCGGGCCTCACTCGGCACCAGCATACAGCATTAGATAAGCACTCGGCTCGTGTGCATGCGTCTGTGCTGTTGGCAACTTTAGATGATTCCACCATTTGATACCTGCTAAACCTATTTGCTGCCTGGTAACAATTCCCGACAGAAAGCCTATACATCACCAGGCAAACAGATGCTGACAGCATCGCGTGATGGAATCAACGCCGGCCTTGTCAGTTCTCTAACACATGGACGGTGAGCACACGTGTGTTAAAATATTGCTGATCAGTGGCACTGATAACATGCAACAAGCTATTCGGGTCAAATTCGAGTCAAATCTAACTGCATATACTTACTTTATAAGTACTTTATAATATATAATATACCCTTTTCTATATTTATACAGTTTCATCTCATCCATCTTCTCTAAATGTCCCAAAAATGAAGACAAACCAATGTAACCTCGTCACATTCTGAGAAGAAAATGTTTTAATCGACTCTGCAAACAAAATATGTCATTTTTATTCAGCATTAGTTTTTTGTTTACATTGTTCTATTTACAACATGGACAGACATGACAGAAAAATTGAGGGCTTCATATAATTTTAAGATGAAAGTAAAATAAATATTTAAAAGAATAAAAGTGAGTGAGTGAAGACATCCAATATTAAAGGAGGAGGAGGAGGAGGAAAAAAACTACAATGAATACAATGACAGCAGATCACACCGTGTAGGACAAAAAACTAGACAAATGGAACGACCAAGTGCACTATTGAAAACAGAACAAAGAAAAAACTTCAAGCTGATGAAACGCAAACGTCACAAGAACAGAGACACATCAGACTGGAGAATGAGTGCAGACACAAGAGACGGGCGCTGCTTTAACTGTGACACTACTATACATTAATACTGAAACTAATAATGAAAAAAAAACATGACACTTCACAATATACATTATTTTCCTCTCCAGACCCTGTTCATAGCTTGTGGAGCACTTACAGGCCCACCTATCCTACCCAACAGTTGAACTTGTTACAGATGACGATGACAATGAATGATGTTTCAAGTATACGAGTGTGCGTTCTCAGCAGGGTTGGGTTGGGCGGTGCAAGTGTAGCTCACAGTGAAAGGAAGATCATCAAGGTTATCTCAATTATCATACAGGACGGGTGAACACGCATGTTTGTTGGATGTTAGATCCTCGACAACTTTTGACAGGTAAAGTGATAGCATTTATTCTCGAAAAGGCGTTGCTACAATGTCCCCCTTCCGATGGCTTTGGTGCTTTGGACAATCATTTATTTTCCAGAAGGCCAAGCGTAGTTGTAATTTTGACGTTTTTAAAAACAATATTTGTGGTCTGAATTGCTAGAACGTGTGACCTGGTCATTTGATGAGCCGTCCAACAGGAAGTCTGGATTTTTCAATCCCTCGTCTATGAGCTGCGGGCCTTCTGTAATGTCTATTAGCAAGATACCGAATCCCCACAAACAAAGATACTCTTCCAGCTCGCCCTGTACTTTGATCTCCTCAACGGGGGTTAAAGAAAAGAAGATTGCGCTACGAGGATCAGTGTCACTTAATGTGGAAGTAGTGAGGTTGACCTTTTTCACCTTACTTACACCCTTCCTCAATCTGCATTGAGAATTAAAAGACACAGTGGTCGAGAAACAGTACTCGATGGGCTAATTTAAACCTTATTTACATTGTTTCATCAACACACTCAGGCCCGTCGGTGAAGCATACTGCATAAGCAAATGTTTGTATAACGAAAGGCCACACATGGATCAATCATTTACCCTCCTAGGTGAAGGTGAATTGCATGAGGTTCACATAGTTTATCCATAATCCTCCATAGGAAAATCTAACAGACTTGCAAAAGGTGCTAAATTAATTTTCTCCTGAAGTGTAATTTAAAAATAACAACATATAGTTTGTTAAAAATGATCCATCAAATGAATTGTATAGAAATATCCTGTGTAGCACTAACAATGGCAATCAAGGGATGAATCCCAACTCGTTAATAGACAGAGGAAATAAGACTTAAAAAGCAAGTAACCATAATTCAATAATGCTCTGACTCATCCGCGATCACCTGACTGGATGAGCAGGAGCACACTTCGGGTCTGGTTGTGCCTTTCCACAGTATTCCCAGATGTCATTTTTATATTTGTCGACGATATCACGATGAACCTTTTCACACCAATAAGCCCGACAGAGTCGAGTTTAACTGTCAGTACAGAAACAATGACGGCAATGCTGCACAGACGCTGTCCCAGGACGGCTCTGCCATGTGAAAAGAGGAAAATCATCAATATTTTCAACACGGATCATTTTGAAAACAAGACCACCGTGAATACTGTGGAGAATGCAGCTGCCGTGCAAAATTGTAATGATCACCGCTGTCCGTCATTGTCTCGTTTGTTTCACCAAAATGAAGCACAGAATCTTTTGCAAATGATACCTTAAAGGAGGGAGTGTTCGTCTACCATAAATGCTGTCCCACTATGGATACATCAAAAATAGAAAGGTTAAAACAGTTCAGCGTTAAAATGTGAACAGTAATAAATAGATTGGTTCCTCTATTTACAGTTTGCCGGACATTTGTTGATGCAGACTTTGTAGTTAAAAGCATTAGATCCTAACTATTTATAGGTTATCCTTTTGTTGTCTGGTTTTGTTCTGAGGATGAGTGCTTGGCCCTCAGGATTTCCCCTCTTCAGCATCCTTCAAACGCAAAGGAGGGCAGGAAGACAGCAAGAAAATGCAAGAGAGATGACGCACATGAAGAAACAAAATTTCTCCCTAATGTGTCTTCCCTCGTGTTTCATCCTGAATGACTTTTCAAATTGGTGCTGTATTGCAGTAGCTGCTTATGTTAAGAGCTTTCATTAAATTTGTCTCAGTGACACATACACGCACAAACACACACACACACACACACACACACACACACACGTTTTGAGCACCCAATGCGCGGTGTGTGCTCGCTCTGAGTAGCATAACCTAAGAACAGCCTTCCGTCGAAGCTTCTATGAAACCACAAAACAAAACCAAGAGCTGAGTCCTTGGGGCAACTTCTTACTCGTCGCCTCTTGGCCATTCGAAACATTAATTCATCTTCTTCTCGCTTTTCAAAGAGCCATTGCGTTTGTGCTTCCCATTGGCCATGATCTCGCTATGGCAATGTCCATTGGCCAAGTTACCGTCGTCCCCGGTGAAGGCGCCTCCTCTGCTCTGGTCCCCGGCTTTCCCCCTCAGCCACCGGGCACACCGCCGCAGGGCAAAGACGCTCAGAGCCAAGGCAGCCACTACAGTAAAAATCACATCCAGCAGGAAGTACTGGTAGGGGGACACCTCATACACAGCGGAGCGCAGGTGGCTGGCGCCGTTGTGACGTAGAACGTAGCTGATCCAGTAGACGGCCCTGGTCACGGGGTGGCCGGGCTGGTCTTTGTGAATGCTGGAGAGAGTAAGTGCTCTCTGGCGATACCTTGACAGGGAGAGAAAGAGGTTGGAAACGAGGACGCAAAAAAAACGAGTCGCAGCAGAGCACAACCGTCTGAAAGGGAGATAAAGACGTTGAACGTTGCCATGTTTGCCATGAACGGTCACCAGATGGCACTGATAAACTATTATGTATGTATATGTAGAAAAAGCTTAGAACTCTAACCTGGTGTCTTTGATGATGCTGGTCAGGGCTGTGTAGAGGTCTTCCTCGGTCATGTACTTCCAGTGCAGCATGATGCCCATTCCTTTGGCTGCCACGCGAGTCATGGTGTCATAGTGGTCCCCAAACAGGGGCACCCCTACCACCGGCACGCCGTGGTACATGGCCTCGTAGATGCTGTTCAGGCCACCGTGGCTCAGGAAGGCCCTCGTGTTGGCGTGTCCTGGACGACAGAAGGGACAAGGAGATCATGTTCCTGATTCCTGATTCCTGATTCCCGAGATGTTATTTTGCATGTTTGGTTCATTAATCATTTTTTGACAGGCTGCTTATTTAGATACATCATTATAGATTTACAGTATTTCACTGAACAATATGAACAAAATATTTCAGTCCGTGTTTTTTGAGAAGGGAAATTGCATTGGTAATGCTTTACTTTCTCCAAAGCCATTTCAACAACTAATAAAATGTTGTAATTTACCTAAAACATTGCTAAATTGAATCCCCATCTTAATTATTACCCTTTAAATCAACCAGCATAGTTTCAGAATGATTTACTGGTTTGAAAGTTTCATAAATACAGCAAAACAGTGTATCGCCACAGCAATTTTGCAATCCAAATATACTGACAGACCTAAATAATAACTAGTTTATTTCCTCACAAAAGATAGACAGCTGGAAGACATGATTAGGTAGGAAGTAGCCCACAAATGTTATTACATTTGGAAGGAGTTGCGAATGCTGCATTTATTTAAACAAATGAAATATTTGATGGTGAACCGTCCCCCTAAAATCTCTTTTACTGAGCAACCAGAACTCCAGACCGGCATAACGTCCGTATTGCTACAGGGTGTCATCATTTAAATATAAATTGTAGCATTGCTTATTCCGGACATGCACAAACACGGCAGACGTGGCTTTCACACTCAGATTCCATCCACCACGCTGGTTAATAAGCAGGTATGGGAAAAAACCCACCCACACAAAGCAGTCCATCACAGCAGCGGTTGGGCCATCTTGTATAAAACATGCCAGGCATAAAATGTGTCCAAATGTGGCTCGAACCAGACACACACATTTCACTTCAGATGGTGAATTCCCAAAAGCCAATTTGACAATTGAGAACTAGTAGGAGATGTACACACCACTGTGCGTGTTGCCCTCCAAATGCACTCACCTAATAAGTCATTCTGAGGCATCCAATCAACAAGCTTGGTGTTGTTTCCGAGGTTACTGGGTGGAACTCCAGAGAATCTAAGTGAGGAAAAAGGAAATAACAATAAGATGGTCCAGCTCACCTTTTAGTAGATGCTGTTGTCATCATAGTGTATGAACGCAGAGGACACCTTTCAGTCATCATTCAAGCAGGATTTCATATTCCGTTCATATTTGTCAGATCTGTGCTAATGTTATGCTCCAATACCATTGCAAAAAGCAGAAGGCCATCTCTTGTTCACCAAGACATTTAGGGTTTCCACCCTTTGTCCTTTAGGGGTGATGCTGCATGTGTAAAACATTGTGTGTGTGAGACTAGTGGGGTGTTTACTTGTGTGTGTGGAAGCACTTTCCAACAAATGCAGCACACAATACGTATGCATGCTGCACTGCGACCCCCTCCGTCCTTCACTGTCTCCTTCTTTCCCTGACCCAAAGTCTTTCATCTCTCTTTCTCTCTTCAACAAAGCTCCCGATTCACTGTCCTGTCAATCAAAGCCTACATTCATTCAGCCAATCATCAATGACACGATTCATTTGGCCAGGTCCATGTCCCTCTAATCAGCCCTCTCCCTTTTTCCATTTGGAAGAGCCAGTTAAGAGTCAGATTCCAATTCAACGTCAAATACAAAGTATCGAGGCTCCTGCTTATAGCATTGTCTCACTTCACTTGTAAGCTTTGTCATGGACCTACACGAGGAGCATCATTGTCAGTCCTTTATTATTATGAAACGAAAAATGATATTATCACACATTACTGCTCCAGCGAGCCGGTTCCAGCCACTGCAGCCACAATATGATCCTCTTAGATGAAACCACACATAATGTGTTTCCAACCCATTTAGATTTTATCACGTTGTCAATGTTTATTGTCGAACCCTGCTCCTAGCACGCCACAGTGGGCTGCTTTGTTCCCCAGGTACAGACAAGCAAGGAAGATAAGAAGTCCCATAATTAAAGTGCTCCGGTGTTTATGAAAATGTTGGTATTAAGCTTTACTATATACAATTAAACACTATGGTAACAGTTCAAGGGGGTATTTACTTCTACCTCTAAAGTGAATCTGTGCGTCCCTTAAAACCTTTACAATAGGCTACGTACTTCATTTGCTCATCGGCTTTATGATTCAAGTCAATTTAATGCTTTACATATTTATTTGTTCTGTGTAGGCCATCTTGTTAGCTGTGGAGTGGAGTCTGCACTTCTCTGCACCAACAAGGAAAGCTGATTGTTAGGGAAACCGTTACAAGGTTCTTATCAGCTGATCTTAAGAGGCCAAACTGATGATTCCTGGTTAAAAAAAACAAAATTGATGACATTTCTTTCATGATGCTTTGAGGGAAATACAGCTATAGATATGAAAAGATCTTGCAGAATAAACATTTCTTAGCATTACCAACTGATATCCTCAAACTTACATAATCCCTCATCTGAGCTCTCTTTGAGATGACAATGGTTTTCTTTTAACATAACCTCTCTTTTTGCAGTTGGTTATGTCACATGTAGTTTCTAGGGATATAATTTGACTCATTCGCACATATTTGCATGTCAAAAAATGTGACATGCAAATGCTCGATATAGATACCTCGCCAGAGGAAGGCGTCATGTAATGTCATATGATATTTAGAAATAGGAAATGGTTCCCATATATTTACTAATTGAAAACTCTAGCAAACCCTGGCTTGAAAACTAACAACAGCAACCATCAATAATCCTAATAAACCCACATTTTAAAACAGTATTAATAATGTGGACCAAACATACCGAATGAAATGTTTACACCGTTCAGGTTTGTTTGTACACGTGAAACCCTTCATCCACATTTGCACGCAGGTACATGGTCAACCATTAACCAGCTACACCATACACCTAAAGCAGAGGCAGGCTTGGGAGCTGCGTGCACGCACGACACGTTGATCCTCGGCTCTGTAATTGTAACGCAGCAGTTGGACACTGCATAACAGACTTATACAAACATTTAAAGAGGATTACGCAACCTCTAGCCTAATAAACTAATTATGTAGTCATCTATGTTACAAAACCAGATCAATGTAGTCAATCATTCACAAACCCAAGATAGATAAGATAAGAGTTAAGGATTAACAGTTTTCAACCGCCCTCCTGTTAGTCAGTCTTACTGCCTCCTATATTTTGTGTTTTCTTGCCCTACATAGTATGTAGGTATTTCTGTGTAAATGATCACAAAAGATACGGGTTTAGTCACACCTACCTCGCACAGGGCAAGATTTAGCGTTTTAGATGATTCCGTGATGGTCGTCTGGTCATTAATGTACCCTGAACACACCATGCGGTTTCTCTCATGTTCTGCATTAGAGTCTTCTAAGGCATTAAGGCCTATTTGAGTTCATGTTCTAGTACTAGATAGCGTCTCATGATACCGTGAAGCATACGTGAGGCGGTAATGTGTACTTCATACAAAGGCCGTTACAGAGGAACAACGTGTGTCTGTAATTTACAACGTGTCTGTGACCACAAGTACGATAGCTGATTATGGCAGTCCGGATAAAACAATGGATATCATTTCAGAGGGAAGAGTAGCTTGAAGCTCAGTAGAAATCTGTGTTCACACGTTGAGTGACTGAACAGATACTTTACCTCCAGACGACACGCTGCGGGAGCCTGGCCAGAGCTCCGGCCAGTTTGTGAGCGATGTCTCGGGAAAGGTACTTGACCCCAGCTCCAAACGACACCACTACAAAGCCGTGCTCCGCCGTGTCATTCGCCCACGCCTCGAAATCCTGTGGGGATGTAATAGAAAGGCGTCTACATTTTGTAGAGTTTCTTTGCCAATGGAAAGGGCGGATAATAACACAATGCAAACACTACTAAACCCAGTTTTTCCATCTTGTTTATACCTCGACAGTTGCTGCTTTCATGATCGATCTGTATTTTACCCTAACCCCATTAATGCATTAGATAAATATCCCATTGATAAAACAAAAACTTTGAGTATTGCTCTTTGTTGTCTTTTCCTTTGTCCACAGTTTTTTTAACAGGCATTCTGAATTATTCAGAGGTAAACAGATACACTTATTGGACATTGAGATGATAATAAACTTAAAAGCAAGAGGTGGGTAAGCTGGGAGAATCCCATAATAAGAACCCTGTAGTTGTAGAAGTTGTCACATTGCCGCTGGTACAATTAGAACCAGAAATGTAGAACAAAGACCAGTTCAAATTCAGTAAATTTTTCACAGAACAAATGTCCACAGTAGAAGAAAATCAAGCAAAAGGGAGATTTAAGGAACATTTCCCGTTTTTGTAAAAGTAAGTTTCCCTTATACTCAGATCCACCATAGACTAGAATACAGAAAGAATCCGAGGACATATTGATAATTATAATAACGTCAGTATAAGGATCAATATGGACTGATCGATTTGGTCTGGCAGTGGGTGAGTGACAAAAACCCGCAAGACAAGTAGATGGAGGGAGGCTGAGGATCCAGCTGCAGCAGATAAGACTTGCCCTGGCACGGGGGGGACGTCAGGGACACACTGGGCTCTGTGTCCCCGCGGCGCAGTCCTACTGTCCCTACAACGCAGCCCCAGTGACCCCATATAAGAGTCTCAGTGTCCCCGGAGCTCGGCCCAGAACAATGGCCTCGTTTCTCCCTCCGATTCCATTATCACTCCCTCCACACAACGCGGCACAATGCTTCCTGTTTCCTTATTGGCCCGGGGGTGACATTCCCAAACCCCCCGCAGTGGATACCGATGGCCGCGCGTCCCGGGCCCCGGCAAAGTCGGCTCTAAACCCCTCCCCACCCGGCCACCAGCCGCCTCTGCTCTCCATGGCTCCCCTCTCTCTCTGCTCAAAATCCACCGCTTCCTATTCCGCCCAGCGCTGTTCTCTCCCCCAGCGTCGCCTATGAAGGACCGCTTTGTGGCATCGTGGGTAATAGCAGCTACCAATCATAGGGGGAGACAAAGGGGACAAGCAAGGACAGATAGAAAAAAAGAACAGAATCTCAGAGACTGTGTGTGTGGACTTTTTCCAATTGTCGAATATAAAAACAAACGTGTAAATGCTATAGCATAACGATATGGCTCCTCATCATGCCTATAAAAACTTTATTTTGCAAAACATCATCATATAAACTCTTCTGCTAGTAAATAGTCTTACGTTATAGTCTTAATGATGTCACAGAACCCTCATTTCATGTTGCAGCATCCGCGGTGAACCCTACAAGCAGTAAATACACTGACTCCATGGTGGCGCTGTGCCATATGACAATATACAGGTTGCTGATTAATGTGAGATGATATCAATTCATCGGAACATCACGGAATTTGTGATAATATGGTTACTACTGGTTAATGTGCATTAGGCCATTGTGGGAAAGGTGAGATAAAATTAGATAGAGTACCTTAATATTGCTAAATGATTCCAAAACACGCATTGATGTCTAGTTATTTTACCCTTCAAATTCTTGATTTGCCGTTGATAACGTGATAAATAAATTAATATTGTGAATTTCACTGCTGTTGGACTAATAAAGGAATATCTTATTGCAAACTCAGAAGGGAAACAATGCGTAAGTCCTCTAGTCCACAAGCCCACGCGGGACCATGTTCTCGGCCTTGGCCGCGTGCTTGTCAGCTGTCTGTGGGTCTCGACGTACTGACCTGTGGCAGTGGGTTGGGGGGCTTGGTGAGGATGCCTCCTATGTACACCACATGTGGCAGCGTGGGCCTGGGGAACTCCAGAGCCATGTCGGTGCAGAGCATCCACAGCTGGCTGCCCTGCACCAAGTCTGCCATGGCCACTTGAGGCGTCACCCCGTGTTTCTTCATAATCCGGTCATACTTGGGTAAGGCGATGTAACGGACTCCAAAGCGCTGCACCAGGTAGACAGCTGTGTTTGCGATCCTCTGGACCAGAGACATGTGGTCTGTGAGCAACGAGTTAAATTCGGGCACGTACGAAAGCGGGGCTGGGGCGCCCGCCTCCGCGGGGTACCAGAGGCCCGTGCTGAACACGGCGTATTTCACACCCAGGATGTGAGCGATCACAAAACCGCACATCTCGTTCGGGTCCACCAGCAGCAGGTCAAACTTGGCCTCCTTGAGGCGGGTCATGACCTCGACACTGCCGACGACAGCGTCGCAGTTCTGGGAGTAGTGGTCAAGGATGTCAAACAGTTCCAGAAACGTCAGGCGGCCTGAGAAGATGTTGCTGACTTTGGACTGGAGGAAATTGTCCGCCGTGGTGCTGTTAAAGATCCCCGGGTAGCGCTGCAGGTGGTAGTAAGGGGAGGGGGGCACGCCGCGACCCTCTGAAATCAGAAAGTGGGTCTCGTGGCCCTCTTGGTGCAGAGCCGTGGCCAGCGTCTTGAAGATGTAGAGGTGGGATTCAAACATGATGGGTGGGACGACGATCACTTTAGCGGCCCATGATGCGCTGGGACTCCAAGTGAGTAGCCCGAGGAGGAGGAGTAGTGATGAGGGTAGTAGCATGGCTGAAATAACCAATAACAAAACGTCAACAATTTGCATTTAAGAGAAAACAAATTGTCATAATGCACATATGAATCAATACTCCTAAAGTCAGGGTCATAGTTGAGTTTAAATGTATTTAAACATTCTGCTTTTTTTTGCCAAATGGGGCCAATCACCATTTCCACTTCCATTTTCAATACCTACCTTTTTGGTTTCAGTTCAATAGTTTGTGGTATCGGTGTGATCGCATTTGTTTTACCCTGAATAGTTTACCTTTCCTAATCAACCTTTGCCTCTCTTCCTCTGTATTTCGATTCCTCCCCCCGTCATCCCGGCTCACTCTGTGCACAGCGTGGGCAGCACCCAACGTCATTCTAAACCTCCGGCCACTCTATTCACAAACACAGACACAAAGAGCCATTATCAGGCCACAGCCTCTGCCCTCTACGCCAACACTCTCCCTCTGCCTTGGATTAATCTTTAACACTGGAGATCCTCTTTATGGAGAGTTATTATATATCCAGCATTCCTGCATCTACAACGACTGAGCCGTGTGCTCCTCACACTGGGGTGTTGCACCTTAAGAAAATATCTATGAATGAGATTCCATGGGCCAAATTGGGATACAGCATACATGTATTTTAAATATGGTGTTCCAGATTATTGGTTCATGACGTTTTGAGTGGTCCGTCGGTGTGGATGTGCGTGCGGTTGTGTGTGATTCCACACCTGTCTGGGTCGAGCCGGCTAGGAATCAAGGCGGCCACCATTCTCTTTAGCATTGCCCTGAGGACAGCGTTAGAAACACTTCCCAGCCCAGACTGTAGACGGTAACTATGGAAACCGGCCGGCGTCAGCCGCGGTCTGGGTCGCGCCGTTACTTAAATTACAATTAACAATGGAGTCCGGTTAACCCGCACAGCGGGAGGGTTGAGGATATCGTCTGAAGAGAAGGAAATGATCCGATTAAAAGAGGTGGATATGAATAAGACGCAAACTGTTAAACATGTTAAAGATGTTTACCTTCTTCTTATCGAATCAACAATACGATATATATGTATACGTCATATTGGGATTATATGATGATAATGATCATCTTGTGATTATCCTCATAATTCTAAGTGAGCAGAAACTAAGTCGTAAAAGGTTTTTTTAATTCATGAGTTAAAAAATGTAAGGTTTAACCATGAAACACAAGTAATTGTAATATGATTAACTCTTTTCCATGCTGGCCTGCTTCATGGCGACCGTTCAAACTACCTCACAAATTAGTTCATGGTGAAAAACAAACTGTCACTTAGGCCTCAATATAAAGAAATGGAAAAAATTGGAAACTCTGAAAATATCATCTGAAATGCATTGCCTTATTTTGCCCTTTCAGTTGTGTATTGTTGATAACGACACCATTAAGAGTCACGCAAGAATGTAATTACACGATGATTATCACTCTACAATACCATAATCTGGTCTAACATTTCTCTCATTTAGCACAGCGGGACAAGCTGCACTGCTGCTTCCACAGTGGGGGCTTATTAGCTCAATGCACCCCGTTGAGAGGGGATGTGTGTGTTCCATGAACTGATATTAGGTCAAAAACAATTCCGTCCTAGCGGTTTATTTTTGCCCCATGTTATTCAAATGCAGCGTGACTAAATATTCTTCCAACATAATCCCGGTGGGGTCACTCGAAGGCAAATTTGGCGAGACTAAGTTAGTTCAGGCTTTGATTATACCAACAACGAAAATTAAAGAAAAGCCTCGACCAATTGGGTTTAAAGGGTTCATTTTAGCAGGTCACATTTGAGACAGGTGTGTGAAGTTGTAAAATTGTAAAGTGCAAAATCATAAAAAATAGATAGTGATCTTTTTCAGACCACGAGTGAGACTGAAAGTGAAAGTCAAAATACATATTGGCCTATGTGTGCAGCAAATGATCTCATAAACAGGTACGGTAGCTCAAAATCTACGGACGGTTTAGGTAAATATTGCCCAGAGCACTTTGTATATAAATTAAACTAAGGTCAAAAGCCTTTTGATTTCACTATTTTGGTAACAACAGAGTTACAACAAAGTGGGACCTTCCAATGCCATGGAGGTGTTTATAATGAAAACATGGTATTTCTGCATGCCCTGATCTCCTGCAGCTGCACCAGCATTTGATACAAAGTGTTTTTTGGCTGTAGGCAACGCCTCCCTCATACTTACAGACTTTAGAAATATGAAAACGGCCTACGTCTGCACTAGCAATGCAAATATTCACATTGACTCAGTCAGTCAAATACAGTTTTTAATGTAACTGTTTTTTTCCTTTACATCCCACTGTACTACTCTTGTTCTCTTCCTTCAATGAGATGCCATTAAATCCAACGCACAAGAACCACCCATACAAAAGCAACAGGTCTGAGAATCTCGGTCTAATCAACAATCCACATTTATTAACACTAATAGACTTGAAGCAGGGGGCTGAGACAAAGCTCCGTGGTTTTCTGTACATTAACGATACTTCAATAGCACAATGTGCTGGTTGCCATGGATCTTTACACAATGTATTCCGCCCACAGTGGTGAGTGATGGAAATTGAATGTATTATGAAATTACGATTGAGGACCTTTATACTTTAGTGCTGCGGCCGACGTCAGTCTAGATGAGTTTAATGCATATAACTAGCTTCAGCTCTGTGACAAGGTCCACCTGATGTCACACCAGCAACAACCCCCCCACCCCCCTCCTCCATAGCATGAATAAGTTAATGAACACACAAGTCACGCTGGTGTCTGTTTAAACATCAGGTGATCGTTTTACTTGGTCCAACTTGGTGCGACAGGCAAAGCAGAACCAAAGAGGCTCCAGAATGAACTGCATCCAACGTTACAACACAAGTAACAACTCTTACACTCTTATAACATAGTGACCCGTACATTTTCCCACCGCAGAAATCAACACACAAAAAACACGCAATATATTACGCCATGGCATAATAAGAAAAACAAAAACGAGTGAATTCACAAAAGACATCGTGGACACGAGAGGTAAGGTTACTCGCCCGGGGGGGGGGGGGGGGGTCGCGAGGGACCCGACCCGAGCGCAGCAACCGGGTCTCACCTGCGCTCCCGGGAGGGGGACGCACCTTTCGGCGAAAGCGGCCGAGCAACAACAACAACAACAACAACAACAACCGTCGAGTTGGCCGCTGTCCACTTCTAAAAGTAGCAAATATCAGCCCAAGTTGTCGCCACGTCGGTAACACACACACACACACACACACACACACACACACACACACACACACACACACACACACACACACACACACACACACACACACATACACCTGTTCCTCTTACCTTCGCGGCTCGAACGTTGCTCGGGCAGAGATGGAGGCGATGGACACAACAAGTGGTGCAAATCTCTCTTCAACTCAATTTAAAGTGTCGCGGAAGGTAAAAGAAATAAAAACATCATAATAATAATACTAATAGTAACAAGTGGCGAGGGGGGGAAAGTGGAAGTCAAATGGAAAGCCGGGGCTTCGAAGACGGGGCAGGGGCTCTCGGCGGGGCGTTGAGAGGCGGGACTAGAGGTGTTCCGAGATGGAGACGAAGGGAGCGGCTACGGCGGAGGGGGGAGGCGGAGGAGGGAGGCGGGGGCCTTGGTTGGTCGGGTAAAGCACAATAAAGGTGCGGTGGGGGGGGGAGGTGGTGTATCGGCCTGTGATGTAGATGACTCGATGTGTATTGACACTGACAACATTTGGAATGACGTAAGCTTTTTTGGCCACGGGTTAGAAGGAGGCCAACATCTGCACGTCTCTTCCCCCTGTGACGTCATGTGTGTAAGCGGTGTGTTAAGAGAGTGAGTGATCGTGTCTATAGATATTGCCTCGGAGAAACTGAAACAAATACAACTCGTTTGTCTGAAAATTTGAAGTTTTACTGAGTGAAATAAATAAAACTTTGCATGGAGACACATGTTGATAGCTACGTGTTTCTAATAAGGCACCTTTTATAAATGGCTTTTATCTTTAAGGATGGGTTAAATTGTCCATTCTTTTTGGCGATTGATTAGCAAAATCATTCTACAGAATGTGTGTCATAATTGCCAATGTTAACATCTTTAGTTTGCTTCTGGGGTTTGGAGCAAATAAACTCAAAATTTAGTTTTAGAATATATTAAACAGAGAAAAGCAGCAATCCTCAACAGTTGAGAGGCGGGAAGCAGAAAACATATTCCATTTTTGTTGGATTGATATTTTATTATTCTTCAATATAAATTGAATTTCCGCCACTAACTAGTCAAGGCTTAATTGATTGATTCAGGTTTGATTCGTTGTATGTTAATGACTCATGTATCAACCAGCTATATATAATAATAAGAAGGAACTTTTACCAACGGTTGAACAATTCCTTTTATAATTCATTTGTACGCATTTTAAATCTGTGTGAAAGGAAATCATGTAATCCATCAAGCGAACATTCTAATAAACCAGTTAGTAGCTTTACATTTTATTAAAACGTGATTAACATATAGATTTAATCCGTCAAGCCTGCAGCTGTACAACATGTAAATGAATAGATTCTGCAACTCACAGGAATCTTTTTTAATGATTCTTTAAACTCATAAAGCATAAGTATATTATGTATAAACGGCTCTACTAATGTTTTTATAAACGGATCCTTGTTAAAAAGTCTGACGCATTTTATATGTGCACACTCTAAGGTTCCATGTCCTTAAGGAGGTTAAAATATTATAATTTAACTAGCATACCACTATCTATATACCTATCTGTCGGTGTGCGTTTGTGTGTGATCTAAACGATTGATGACCGATGGCTGGAAGATAAAGTTCCTGGAGGTGCTGGAATTCAGTGTTTTGTTCTAATAAAACCATATCGGCGATAATCCTTTGTAATATAACTTCATAATCAGCAAGATAATGAGCTATCCAAAGCAAAGAGTTGTGCTGAGCCGTGGATTACAGCGTCTCCACCCCTACTCAACAAGTGTGTGTGTGCGAGGTTGTATTTCTTAGCTCAACAAAAAGGCTTTTAATTGTTCAAACAATACCACCTGACAAATGTCAAGACTGTGTTATAGATTCAACTTAGTCTTGATTTATCCGTCGACTCATTTCATTCCATTGGCTACGGCCCAATGCAAACATACACGCCCTGTCCCACAGGTACAAAGTACATGAGAGAAAAGCTGTTGTGCCACTAGGTCAGGGTTGGTAAAGGGGGCCTGGGTTAGCTCGAAACCTGCCAAACAGTCAAGAGAAGACAAGCTGTGAATTCATTGTATATGTGCTGACAAACAGACTTAGTTGTCACACAAAGGTAAGTCTGTTTACATGGTAAACACACACATGTGCAGACGAATCCTTTAAACGGACTACACTTGGAGAACTTTGGGGGT